TTTCTACTTGTTTGACTTTATAAAATTCAATTAATCTGTATTTTTTTTAACTTTTTAATAATTTTTTTTACCATAGTAACGTATGTAATAATTGATTTACTAAACATGATTATAATGCATTTAAGACACCAGGCCGTCAACTTTAGGAAACAGTCATTGCCAAATGTTTATTTTATTGCAAATGTTTACTATGGTTTACATGATCAGCATTTTTTAAGGTTAAGAATCTCGCCGCACAAGTTTTTGAATTCTCAGGAAAAAATTAATAAAATTGAGAAAAACAGTTTTATCTTTCCGATGTCAAATTTGAGTCGGGATCGAGATTTCAAATTCACGAACTCGTACTTCCGGATTTAAGATGAACTTGGCGGGTAAATGGTAGATCTGGAAAGTCCATGGCAGCAACATAGCTTGGTTTATTGTAAAAAAAATTCCACGATAGGAGTGCGATTCAAAACTTTTCATCCATTCAGAGGATAAATAAAATGCTGACGACTTCGTTGCACAGTGACACATGTTGGTGAGATAATTATGTATTTGTATATCAGTATCTGTAAATCATTTTCCTCCCACAGGTTTAAAACTGCCAGTGGTAGCTATTTCCAAAGACAATGTTTAGGTCTCTGTTATAGCTTACAATCTTAGCCTAATTCTTCAGAAAAGGATAAACGACTTTCACATTTACACAAATAGACGAATTTCACATTTCTGAGAGTTAATGTATCTCCCGTTGTCGGCGTAACGCTCATTTTTCCCACTTTGTCCTTTGTAAGTTACCTGTTAATATTTTTAATCTTCAAACGTTATCGTAATACTAAAATTTCGATCTGCACCTGTATTGCCAGAATATGGGGCAATATGAAAAACGGAGTGAAAATATTCATACAGATTCTATTTCTGAGAGACTGAACCATAAAGTTGGTAAGGTTATACAGGGAAAACAGTGTCTTACTCCGGTTGACCCCGGATTGACCCCACAAAGGGGAATAACTTTTGTAAATGTGAAAATCGTCTATTGTTCCCCTTTGCGGGGTCAATCCAGGGTCAACCGGCGTAGGGTGCTGTATTCTCTTTTTAACCTTACCAACTTTATGGGTCATTATCCTAGAAATAAAATCATTATGAATATGCTTATTATGTTTTTCCTGTTTTCCAATACTCTGGCAATACAGGTACAGATCGAAATTGTCCTATAACATTTGAAATTTCAAAATATTAATAGGTTACTTACAAAGGACTAAGAGGGAAAAATGAGGAACATACTAAAGACCTGATATTTTGACCTGATGAAAAAAAATTTTGTATTTAAACTATCAATTTAAAGATTATATTTCAAATATAAGTTGGAAAATTATTGATGAAGTTCTACAAAATTACACTTTTTAGGGGATAACACTGACTTTATCTAAAGGGGTACTTACAAAAAGTTGATGACCTGATATTATTGAATGACCCGATATTAGCAATGCCCATGCAAGGGGGAGATAACTTTCCAGATTTCCTGAGCCTCGTTTTGATTCCGTATCAGAAAAAAATGTACGGCTTAATAAACTACCTTCCCTCGTGTTTTCAAATGTTTTAATGACCTTTCTATGAAGTTTGAGATGCCCCCTAGTATTACCAAGACTGAACGTTTGAAGTACAGCGCGATAAGTCATTTTAAAAAAAGATTGAAAAATTAAAAAATCTCTAATTTTCATATACGGACGAGTAATGTGTCAAAACATGCATAAGTAGCTTCCTCTGTTATACCACTACAAATGCATATCACATGCAGGCAAGTATTCAACTGTTCTTGTTCGCCATAGGAATTTTCTAAGGTCTACTGGAGCAAATTCGGATCGTTCATATCCAGTATGGCAGCCAATACGTGTGTTGAAAAATATGTAAACAATGTGAATTGAACGTCTGATGGTCTGTTTACTTCAAGGTGATACAATGTTACATTTTTTTTAACTATGCTTAAGCATTTTAGTAATGAAATTTCGTTCAAAGTCTATTTCGAGTGCGAAAACGACAATAGGGTTCTTCTCAAAGTGAACAAGAATAAATTTCAAGATTGACTTACTTTGGTGAAGAAAACAGTGAAAGTTAAATAAAAACTTCATTTATAATCATACTTTGATATTTATTGATAAGTTTATTACTTTAAATGACAACACAGCATACGAATAATGAGACATAAGCTATTCTGTATAAATAAGAAAAACAAAGGAAGACAACTCTTGCATTTAACATTCTGTGTCATATTTTCTTCTGTGTCTCAACAGTGGCACAAGAAAGAATGTATTCACTATGACAAAAGAATTGACCTGTAGGAGAAAACAATTTCCCGGAAAAAGTGACATTTAAAAATTTATCTTTATTTCTTGTTTTCTACCATATATATGTCTAAATTTTTCAAATTTGTAATTTATACCTAATATTTATCATAAAAAACTTTACAATAAACCTCCAAAATTGGCCAAAACACCATTTTGTCCATTAAAGCGTTGATTTTTGCATGTATTTTGGCCTAAAAGTCCTTCAGGGCAGGCCTGCCCCTAAATAAAACTGGGATATTTTGATAGGTTGGGATGTAAAGAATAATTTAAGATAGGATTTTTTTTAGGGGCACCCCTGCCCTAGGGTGGAAATTCACCAAAAAACTACAAAAATTAAGGAGACCTGATTTTGATAATATGCTTAAATTTTATACCATACAAGTTTATAGTCAGACTAGCTCAGTTGATATATGTGCTGACTTTTACACTATCAATGCTTTCTTTTTAAAGTCGGGGGTTCGAATCCAGCTGGTACTACACTTTTAAAGTTTTAATTTTTCGCTTTTTCAAAGACTATTTTAATTTTTTATAGACTTGTGCATTTTCTTTTAATTATCTATCCTTCATGCATGCCCATTCTTGATATAAGAAACACTAACAAGAGATCAGGTCGTAACAATCCAATGTCCAGTTGTCAGTCAGGCGGAACAATATAAGCACACTTTCTCTGGACAAGAATAGCTCACTTTGTGTTACTCGATACAGGTATTCTTGGCAGCATTGAGCTGCGATAATATTCCATAGAATTTAATCACATTGACTTTGGCTACATGTATATCAGTTACTGTTTTCCTTGGGATTTCATTTAGGCTTATATAATTTGCACACATTAATGGCATGTTTTATTATATCAACTGATAAATAAAGCCTAGATATAAACAATAGAATTTCAGAGACAGTATACATTACCATTACCGGGTACATGTATGCACAATGAGAAGTAAAGAAAAATATCAATTATTACATTTGGAGATAACAAAACTCAGGAAAAAAAGGGTTCCTCCTATCTATACTCACTAAAATAAAGATTTAGGAAAAACAAATTGTTATATGTATTCAGCCTTATGTCATTAATCAGAACGGAAATCGACAAGGTTTTTGTAGAGAGAAAAACCATACCCGGTCCTATAGGTCAAATCCCTATTTAGAATGAAGTGATCCTTATGAAATTTCAGGAAAAATTAATTATTAATTCTTTTAGAAATGTTAAACATTTTAAAAGGTTTTGAGAAGAAAATGTTTGCAGCAATTTATGAAAAAAAAGCTTTTGAAATTCCTACTAAAGACCTGATATATTTTGATGACCTGATATTTCTGAATGACTTGATGGGTTTAAATGACCTGATTTATTAATATATTATATTTTCAGGAAAATAAAACAGTTTTCAATATTAAATTTATAAAGTTTGAATATTTGCAGCAATTTCATGTCATTTAAGAATATCAGGTCTTAAGTAGAAATATCAGGTCATTCAAAATTATCAGGTCATCAAGTTTTGTGTATATACCTTGATATATAGCAAAATAATTTACATATTTTCTACTAAAAATGTATTTTAATATAGTTAAAGCTATTATCATCATCAGTTTTCCCTCAAAAATATGAAATTAAAGTTTAAATTGATAATTTATTTTTCATCAGGTCAAAATATCAGGTCCTTAGTATATCAGGTCTTTAGTATGTTCCGAAAAATGAGCGTTACGCCGACAACGGGAGGTAACTCTAGGCATGTGAAATTCGACTATTGCTTATGCATCTGATGTAATGAATAAAACTATGAGAGAAATGGGACAAATGAAATAGTTAAGTCCATTTGAGGAAGAAATAAACAATAGCCTAAGGAAATATTTCAACTCTTAAAAACAAGTATATACAAATATATACAGGCATGTAGTATCGTTGTGGCAGCCAGAAAAATTATTTTCAGCTAAAGTGAAGAAAAATTGTATTTCATGATTGTTTATCGAAAATATTTTTAATGAAGTCCTTTTCTATTTCATGAGTGTTGATTGAAATTAAACGTGCAATTTTAATGACGTAGAAAACATCAACACATTGTTTACAAACCTCATCTCACACCGAGTATAATATTACAGGAATAAGTACATGTATGTCAACTCTAGTGTACGCATTTAGGAGATTATTTTCAAAATTATTTAAATAATATAAGTTTGGATGTGATATCGTTACTTCATTGTCCTCAACCTGTACATGCTGTGGGTTCAATATTTATAAGAGTTCCTATTTAAATATGTAATCGCTGTATCAGAAGCACTACATCAATAAGTTACAGATATAATCTTACATTTGAATGAAGCATAAATCAAGCATCAATACAAATGCCAATTTCAAAATCATTATGTTTATTTTATAATTAATCTGAAAAACTAAAAAAAAAATTTAATTGAACCAACCAAGTTTATTCCTATTACTTATCAATTTTTTTTTTATCTATTCTATGAAGGAACATGAGTATATGAGGTCATTTTAAAAAGTCTCAATTTCAAATGTTTAATGCAATATTAAAACTAATGATAAAATTCTGCTTCAGAGATAGACCAGTGTCCTTTGAAGTGAATATGTAGATAAAAGTGAAAGTGCACATATATAATATATAACATATAAATAATGTATTATATCGACCTATATGAAATCCAAACAGATTTCATTTAGTGTTATTTTAAATTCACTGTCACAGCTTTATGATAGCTATAATAAACTGGCATGACCGCTACACTTGCTTTCATCTGTTCTGTGATATATACATGATCTAGTATAGTATCGCCCTCTGTTGTTGCAAAATGTACTTTCTGCATAAATCCATTAATCTCAAACATTCTTTGAATCGGTCCTTCAAATTGCGCATCTTCATTGAAATCTCCAAGTACAATGCAGTGGGAATACCGAACCTTAAAGAAGTCTACAGTCTTATTTAGGCCATCAAGAAAGCATCTGACACTGAGAACACTTGGTCGATATACAACTATGATTACAATGTTTTCGTCATATAGCTCTATAGCCATTCCCTCAATATTTTTTTCAGGTAAATCACGAACTTGAGCATTTTCCTTTCTCTTTTTGTAAATACCGACACCTCCTCCTTTGGCTGACCGAAGTTTAGCAACACCATTCACACTTTCATCATATGACTGCTTTCTTGTGGTATGGTTGAATTCAAAATCTTGAATTTCAAAGTCCTTCATACTCTCATTGTCCGTCAGCCATGTTTCTGTAAGACATATAAAGTCTGCTTGGAGCAATCTGGTGTCACTTTTTAAGTCTAGAATATGTCCCCTTAAACTCTGCACATTAAGCAGAACAATCGTTTTGAATCTTTCATTTTCAGTGCAGCATTGTGGATAACCTTCTTTGGGGATTAAATTTTCCATCTTTAGCAGTGCTGATTTTATGTCTGGGTTAGCGTAAATTTTCTTTAATAATGCATTTTCATCTCTCGTTTCTATGAATAAACCATTTTGTGAAGTGACACGGCTTATTGCAACATATGCCTGTCCTGGAGCGAAAGTATGGTCTAAATTTACAACAACTCTGTTTATTGTCATGCCTTGAACTTTATGTGCTGTACATGCCCATGCAAGTTTCAAAGGAAACTGGTGACGAATAACATTCTTTGTATTTTTTTCCCTGATGTCTTCTTGTAATCTTTGAATCAATACCTCATTTCCATGGCTTGTCCTTTTTCCTTGCAGTCTTCCAACATCCTCACTATCAAAAATTATTCTAATTCCTTCTACCCTGTTTATTTTCTGAGCTTCTCCAAACTGAAAATCTGAAATATGCCCCATTGCACCATTTACAAGTCCATCTTCGACGTTGATATTTCTCGTCAGCATTACTCTTGCATTCACTGAAAAAAGCAAAGAAGCAGAGAGCCCATCTGTTCTTGTCCTTATGAAAGGTTTTTCACGTAAAGTCAGCTTTCCAGTGGTATTGTCTTTCTGATAATCTTCAGCAGTAATCTCTATCAATTCTCCACAGTTTGATTGCAGCATCTTCAGATTATGTTCATTTGTTTCTTCATTTGTAGGATATACATGGAGTGCTTCATCCGGTCCTTCCCTAATGCATTCTTTTAACATTGATATTGCCTCTTTCGATAGTGGTTCCTTTATTGTTCGAATCCTCAGTGAATTCAAAACTGCAGCAAATGCAGCGTCGTCACGTTGTCTCATTATTTCCTCCAACTCAACGATTTTGAAGAAGTCTAACCAGTAATCTACAGGATATTCACCATTTTCTTCGTACAATATTTCCACCTTTCGTTGTTTCACAGGAGGTAGTTGGTAAAAATCTCCTACAGCTATAACTGATATACCACCAAAGGGTTCCTTGCATTTTTTGATTTGCACCAGGCGTTCGTGAACATAGTACAAGAGCCGCTTGTAAACCATAGATACTTCATCAATGATTAAAATCTGCAAAGAAGCTAACCTTGACCTCATTGCACTTAAACTTTGTTCTTGCAGAGGTTCATATGGAATGCGTAGAGCTTTAGTTAAGGAAAATACGTGATGAATTGTGCTTCCACCAATATTGAAAGCTGCAGTTCCTGTAAAAGCTGTCAGAAGAACAGACAAATCTGAAGGAGACGAAATCGTTTTCTCGAAAAGTCTGGAGGCTTCATACTGTATAGTCTTAATCAGATGGCTTTTTCCTGTCCCTGCACCTCCAGTCACAAAAATATGTAATGGTTCTATTTTCTTCCCAGCCACTTTTTTCAAACACCATTCACGAACCAAGTAAAAAACCTGCTTTTGTTTTTCATTTAAACTTCTCAAAAAAGGAAGGATTTCTTGTCTTGATGTAGAATTTTCCCTAATATGATATATCACATCTGAAGAGTTGTCATGTTCAATTTCATGAGTGATTTCTGGTTCTCTATTTTCTGATTTTTCTGTTCTCCTCTTTTCAATAAGACATTCTTCTCGATTCTTTTCAGTTTCTGGACACAGGTTAGCCCAAGCATCTTCAGGTTCGCCATAAATTTCTAAAGTTTCTTGCGCATTTTCAAGGGCATCTTCATTCTTTGAGAATATAACCCTATTTTTTTCAACTACATTTCTGACAGATTGCAATCTGTTTTCACTTCCTATTCTCACAAACCCATTTTCAAAAAATGTCTGATAAAAGTCAAATCCAGGCGGTTTCAGTTGATCTTGAGTCCAATACGGAAGAAAAAGTTGCAGTATTGATTGAAAATACTTTTCTGGTGCATTTTCTGGATTGAATCTGGGATATCTTACTACAGCTGGCTTAGCTCTTGTTCTTTTCTGAATGTAACCATGACCTTTCTTTAATTTATAAACACCTTCTTTTTCTCCATGGGGAATCTGAGATTTTGCAAGAACACGATACTCGGAGCAAAATTCTGCAAGACACATTTCAGGGAAAGGAGGTGGATCTGGACGATTTTCATATCTTTCCACTACATTTGTCATCCAAATGCTGTCGTCATCATCTTCCATATCATTTTCACCATTTTGTACACTTTTAATTTGTGAAAGAGGTTTACTCAGTCGAGTTGGATTTACACCAATAGGAACAAAAACAACTTTTCTTGAACTTTCTTTCATTTTTAGATTGCAGATTCTGTATACTGCTTCTTGGGCACTTACTTCTCTATGATTGAGATAAGCTGATCCAATTCGCTTCATCGTTTGACGAGCACTTAAGTTTCCTTCTGCAGATTCTACTTGCGTTTGTTTCAGCAGCATTCCCATTTCCCGTTCTGACTTTGAAATGTATGAAATTATATACACAATGCAGCTGAAGGGATCAAAGATATACTGTATGTCCATATTTGCATCCCAGCATTTGAGAAGACATGGATTGTATTGGTTTGTCCACATTTCATCTGGATTTCGTTTCAAGATAGTAGTTGATTTTGCAGATAATACCCTATGTGCTTCTTCATAAACATCTTGAGATAATTGTATATTGGAGAATATTTCCTCTGTTGTTTTGCATCCATTCATATCATCAAGAACTTCATCCCAAACACGCAACAAAATATCTTTTGCTTGAGATTTAGACAACCCTTTGCCATCTTCACAGTCCTCAACATCTTTCTCACATTGCCTTGTAATAAATGTTCTCTCTGATGGTGGTCTTGGAAAGTGAAATCTACAATCTGTTCCCTTTTTCCTACATGATTTTGAGTGACTCTTGCTGTGCTGTTGAACACCTAGAACAATTCTTCGAAGCTCTGCGTCATCATTTTCACAAGGTAAAGCGCATGTGATATATCTGTCAATGAAATCACAAACAGTTTCCTCATTATCTTCATCAACTTTGGGTGCATTCTCAATCCAGTACAAACAGTGCATGTGTGGAGAACCCCTTTGTTGAAATTCTACTCTCACAAAATAGTCAATAACATTCCCTATTGGTTTTGATGGTGATAAAATTACATGCCTTTGAAACATATGGAATCTATGTTCAAACATTCTTGCCACAGTTACTGGATTGCTTCTCAAAATTTCACTTTTTTCTGACCAGTCTAAATCAGACGGGGATCTAGGATCATTATCATGATGCAATATTGATCCAATGATTTCATTCCACCTGAACTCAGCCGCCGAAAATGAACAAAACCAAGTTGGAATTCCTAGTTGTCGAAGCATGGCAAAAAGATCTTTCTGAGTAGCTGACCAATATGCAGGAGTTCCTCGAATAGGTTGCATAAAGCGTAAAGCCTCGTTATTCTTAAGGAGATTAGACAGAACATCTGGATTCTGTAACATTTCAGAAGTCACTGCTTTTCCAGTATCAAGCTTTGATAAAGACTTTCGGATTGAAATTTGTGTTTTCTCAATTACTTGGTTTAATTCTGACATGTATTGAGAGAAGAAAATGTAATTTGTGTCTTTAGCAAATCTGTTATCTGCATTCATAAGTCTGTTGTTAAAATACCTTGATAGAGTTATCTTTACATCTCGATTTTCATTCCAGGAAAAGTTTCCACTTGGAAATAAATGTGGAAAAGTCTTTGCTTCGTTACCTTCTTCTTGCAACATTCGAATTGGATTTTTTCCTTCACTTGGTGCTATATTGTATATATCGTCAAAGTAATGATCGAGAACTTCTTGCGCAACATCGACAGGCTGTAAGCATGTATCAGTAACAACCTCTGAAGTCTGATCAATCTCACCTTCTTTCACTTCCTCGTCTTCAAATTTCTCTTGATCCTGGTCACTGGTCTCTTTTGGTAGCAAATCATTTTGGTCACTATTTCCCTCCCAATTGGTATTGATTTCAACATCCTGATACCATTTGTTCTCTTTCTTTAAATAATCAAGAGCCATCTTTATGTGATTCGGATTGACAAATTGGTATTCAAAATAGCCCTTGTATGCTAGTTTGCGTTTCAGTTTAACTCTTAACAAGAGATTGTCATCATGACTTCTTGGTAAACTTGTTGCCTTTTTTATATTTGATGGCACACAAACAACAGGCCCATGCACATTTCTTTGACCACCTTGTGGGAGAGCCATCACTTTCATAAAAGGAACATGTAAAGCAATTAAATGCTGCTCCAAACTGTTTAAATTGGCTAGATCATTAGGAATTTCGTCCAGTGACATTTTATTTACAGCTGCTTCTGCTGGAACATTACCACTTAATATTTTCCTATGACAAGTAAAACATATCCACAATGATGACTGTATGCAATGCATTGGACAAGTCAATGTACACTCATGACAGTATTTCTCCTGTATACATGCCTTTGCAATTTCATGTGCTTGATGTCTTCCTTTGTACATTTCAAGAGTGCATCCTTGAACTTGGTGTTCAAACAATAAACGATGACAACAGCAACATGTGTATTCTGGACCATTTCTTACACTTTCCCTGAATAATGCCAAAACTTCTTCTTCATCTTCAAGCTTTACTTTCAGTGTTTGTCTATGATTAAAAACTGCCTCTTTCTTCTTCTTTTTCTCATCCTCACTGAAATGATATTTCATTTTATTAGCAGTCTTAATCTTCTGTTTATGTTCTTCATCATTCTTGTATTTCTCTGTACTTCGTTGCTTAACATTCATTCGATGTACTTCATCTTTCTTGTACTTCTCTGTACTTCTTTGCCTAACATCCATTCTGTGCAATTCATCAATCTTGTATTTCTCTGTACTTCTCTCTTTTACACTCTCTCTATGCACTACATCTGAACTATATTTCTCAATGCTTCTTTTCTTCATATATTGATTATGATCTTCATCAGTTTTATACTTTCTTTTGTTTGCCTCCCTCAGTTTCAACTTGTGTTCTGCATCCAAAGAGTATTTTTCCACACTCCTTTCTTTTGCTTTTGCTTGGTAAATTTCATCACATCTATATCTAAATTTTCCATCTGCGATTGCCTTTAATCTAAATTTCAAGTCAGTCTTGTACTTAAGATTTTTTGATCTTAATTTCTTTTCCTTACAATTTACATTCTTTAGTTTCAATTCATGATCTTTCCTTAGTTTTTTTGTTGATAAACAGACACGTACATTCCTCATGCGGTTTCGATTTCTGCGTCTTTCCCTGTATCCCTCTTTACCAGTATGTGTTTTTAAAGAACCAGTTGTTTTATTCTCAGCAACTGTCAACACTACATTGTAATGATTCTGATTCTCATGATCTAGATAAATTGATCCTATGGACTGAGTATTTTTACAAGGTTCCATCATTCTTCTTGAGTATGTAATCCAATGATTTTCTGTATATGTGTGTATATCAATACTCAATAGATGACAAACAGCCATTATTTCTAGTTCAGTTGCCCATGAACCATCATTTGACATCTTTGTTATAGAAAAATGATTTTCTACAGAACTTTCTGCCTGTCTAACAAAAGGTTTGAACAATATTCTATTGTGGAGAAGGTGTTGACACACTGCTGATCGAATTGCATAGTGATAATCCTCCACTCCAGTCAAACAAAATGAAATAGCTCTGAAGAAACAATTACCATCCCTTTGAATTTCAACACACTCAGTAGGTGCACCTACTTCTTGAACATGACAATTTTGTACATCATTATCAATTCTACTTGAATATGGTATTCCAATAATGTGACAAAGTTGTTCTTTCATACTTTGGGATATTGGACAAAATCTAATATTTTGACTTTCACTGTAAACAAATTCAACATCGTCATCCTCAATTGACTCAGCATGTAGAATAGAAATGTTTGCATTTTCTTGGAATGCCAAATCTCCTTTTTTCTGAATGATTTCTATGTGCTCACTTTTATCAGTAGATGCAAAGTGCCTAACTGAACAATCCACACTTGTTATTTCACATTCAGTGATTCCCGAAAATCCCATTGACAATGCTAATGACAGTATATGATTGTAAATGTTGTAAACTGATTGGTATAGTATCCTTGTACTCTTTCCATTCAAACTCAGACACCCTGATGATGATCTTGAATGTGAATCAAATGTAAAATAACCATCTTCTGTTTTCCCCACTAAAAATGTATTTCCCCTGAAACACACAAAACACCCACTTGATTCTCTAAGAGCAATATGCAGTGCATCTAACAGTAAATGTGCATTAAATTCATCATAATTGGGCTCTACATCAGACAAATTTATCAGACTGCATAAAGGTTCATGTGCTTTGAACTCGAACATTGTATCAAAACACTCAAAAAATTGTGGCAACTCATCAACTAAGAGATATCTACTAACAATGGTTGAACTACGCTGCAAGTATGTGTAAAGCTCATCGCCTGTTACCAACACTTTATTCATATCTGAAGTTTGCCATTGTTTTGAGTTTTTTATTTTATGATATGCTATTGCTGCTAAGGAGTTAGCAACACATTGTGTTCCTGCATTTTCACCAAACATCAAGTTACCCTGATGAAAAGAACCTTGAACAGATACCTTGCTAGCTGTAACTGGTCTGCTATCACCAATACAGGCATCAGCATCAGATGGTCCACCATTACAAGGACTTTGAATTCTACATTCTGTTTCACTATTCTCATATACAATGTACAAATTCTCATTTTCATCATGTAAATTCCTTTTAGTATTCCTTTTAGATCTCGTTCTTTTACTCTGGTTTGCATCAATCAATCTCCTGCTGGACTCATCCCCCTTAGAGGATGACATATCCAGCTGCGCCTGACCTGCTGAGCCAGACACGTGCACGGTGTCCGGCTCAGGTACCCTCGGCGAGGTACAAACCCACGGTGGGGAGTCAGGGGACGGTGCCATGCCTCCGTTTTGGGCACACAGACGACTTCCCTGAGGTGATGCGTTACTCAGGGCGGTTGGTTGCATTTTCTCGCGAAGAGAGGCCTGCAACCTGGCCAAGGGTTTTTCCTCAATAGGAGGCAACCCTATAAAGCCTTGCCCCGGAAAATTACCGGGTGGAGCTGTAACAACCCCATCTACTGTCTCGCAAGAGACAGCAGATTCTGCTTGCGTATCATCTGGTGGGACATCTGACAAGGGAAGGGCCTGCTTCTGCCTCTTCTCCCTCTTACGTATCTTGTCTTTAAGACGATTCTCCCTACCACTCAAGGTCTTTTTCCTTGGCATCTACAAAAATAAAACAGAACATTTTCCATACCAATTGAAAAAGTAACTATAATATGTTCCTAAAACTAAAAGGGTTCCCTTTTTACCCTCCCCAAATTCCAGAACAAGGGTTATTAATTGCAGAATTCAAAATTTTTTTTAAAAATAATATTAATCTACATAATTATTTGCAAATAAATATTTCTTGAAAGTTCACTCAGATATTCTTCATGTATAATGCTTTACTACATGAACAATTTAATGCAAACTTTTCAAATTATTTCATTTGTAGACTGACAAGAGGCAATGGCCTCTTTTGCACACCTGAGTAACTTTTGCTATGCTATTTTTAACCATATGTGACCCCACCCTACCCCTAGGGGTCATGATTTGGGTATCAACCCCACCCCTCAGGCTCAAGGGGTGGGGGTGGGGTTTGGGATGTTGCAATTCACAACTTCTGTTTCCCTTCACCCATAGATGCTTTGTGCCAAAATTGGTTGAGTGGTTCAAGAGAAGAAGCTGAAAATGTTTAAATGTTTACACACAATTGATGAACATGGATAGCAATAGTTCACCTAAGTGTATTCAGGTGACCTAAAAATTATTTAAGTATTTAAAAGCTTAAATGCATGAGTGATCCCATCTACCCATGAAAGGGGAGGTATGATTTGATCGAAATTAAATCTACACTAACTTAGGATGATTTTTATATAAATATATTTGACTTACTGTAACTTTTTCCCAACAAAATTATGAACTTTAATTGTGGCCACACCCTATCCTTGGGGGGTCCTAATCTGAACAAACTTGAATCTACACTGAGGATGCTTTCATATAAATATGACAACCATAGCTTTGATCTTCTTGAGAAAAAGATTTCTAAAGAATTTTCCTATATACTCAAATGTTAAACTTTGATCAGCCATTGTGGCCCCACCAAACCTCCAGGCCTTGATTAAAAAATGGTTTGTTTGCAGTTGTCTACCGACCTACTAAAAATGCACCCGACTCAAACTTTTTTCCAGTTTTTATTCGAGATATTTTTTTCTTGGAAGTTCCAAATTTTGAGGATAATAAAATTTGTTAAATTTTCTATTCCTTTTTAAATTTTTGTTTCAGTTGATATGTGGCATAACATAAGTAGAGCTCTATTACGAACATAAAATATACCTATGAAAATCTCTTAATTTGTAATCCGACAAAAAATTGATAAGTATATTTATATATATAAAACAATAAAACCTGCCCACCTACCCACTCTAAAAAATATTGCTTGGAAACTGCAAACAAAAAATTTTTTAAGCTTGGCCCAACAGTCATGATTTTGAACAAATATGTTATTATGAACTACACCATCTGAGGATTCTTCTACATAAATATGACCAATCATAGCTTTGCTCTACTCAAGATGATTCTTGAAGATTTTACCTTTATACAACCTAGTTAAACTTGGAGCATTCATTGAAGCCCACCATAGCCCTGGGGGGAGTCTTGATTTGTACAAATATTTGCATAAATTAATATGACCACCTATGGCTTTGCTGTTTTTGAGATGATAAACTCCAATGTTAAACTTTGATTGTCCATTATGGTCATACCCTACCCCTAGGGGTTATGATTTCAACAAACTTGAATCTTCACCACCTGAGGATGCTTCTACATGACTTTCCTCTCTTCTGGCCCATTGGCTCATGACAAAATTTTCAATGTTGCCAATAATTTTGGCAACCCTTCATTTGAACAAACTGAAATTCCCCTTTCCAAAGGAAACGCTTTGCTAAGTTTGGTTGAAATTGGCCCAGTATTCAAGAGAAGAACAGAATTTGTGAAAAGTTTAAAACAAAACCATTGATGACAACCTATGGTTACATGTACCTTTTTAAATGTTATAAAAACAACTGTTTGTTCAGACACCATTAACCTTAAATTACCTTACATAGGGATGTTTCCAAATTAATCTTATTTGAGACATTCTTTTCTGGCCCAGATGTTCTTGAGGTTGTTTTTAAAGATTTCATAGAATTTTCATGCATTGTTAATTTATTTCCCCTTGAAAGAAGGTGTAGCACTTTCAGTGGCGGATTTAAGGGGGGGGGGGCGCCCCCGGCGCGCGCCCCCCTAAAATTGTCAAAATTAACGTAAATCACAGTTTCGTCTAGAAAATGTAAATATGTATACTTGGTAGACCTCATTTTTACCCTACAAAATCTCTAGAATCCAGGGCCCCCAGACCCCTTGCCTACTCTTGGCGCCCCCTCTAACTTCAATTCCTGGATCCGTGCCTGACTTTCTATGGATAAACTGAAATCCCCTTTACTAAAGGATGCTTTGTGGCAAGTTTTCTTGAAATTGACACAATGGTTCTTGACAATTTGTGAATAGTTTACAAATTGACGACAGATGGATGTCTTCTTCAACCAGACAAGTTTAATCTAACCTTAAGCTTAGGTGACCTAACAATATACATGTACAGGAGTTTCCTTTGCTAGCTATACTGTATGCTGTATTTATCATTAATTCATAATAACAATTATGTACAACAGATCAAGAACCATGGAAACTTAAATAGCATCTTAACAAATACACTAGATGCATGGCCAAATGTACTTTGATTATTAACCAGAGGCCCATGGGCCACATCGCTCACCTGAGCAATGTGGCTAGGAAAAAAGCAGAAATCAATTTAATTATTGAAAAGTTTAAACCCAATAGTGGTCCCAACCAATCCTTAAACAAGAGGCCCATGGGCCACATCGCTCACCTGAGAAGCTTTGACAATTCTGTACTTTACTAGATTTACCCTTTGTAATACATATTGTGACCCAACCCTACCCAACTGATCATAATTAAGACAATTTGAAATCTACACTACCCCAGGATGCTTCCATATAAGTTTCAGCTCTGGCCCAGTTGTTATTAAGAAGAAGATTTTCAAAGCCTTTTCCTATATATTTCTATGTAAAACTTTAAATTCCCCATTGTGTTCCCGCCCAATCCCCAGGGGTCATGATTTGAACAATTTAGAATCTACACTACCCCAGGATGCTTCCACATAAGTTTCAGCTTTTCTGGCACAGTGGTTCTTGAGAAGAAGATTTTCAAAGATGTTTCCTATATATTTCTATGTAAAACTTTGATTCCCCATTGTGGCCCCGTCCAATCCCCGGGGGTTATGATTTGAACAATTTAGAATCTACACTATCCCAGGATGCTTCCACATAAGTTTCAGCTTTTCTGGCACAGTGGTTCTTGAGAAGAAGATTTTCAAAGATGTTTCCTAATTATTTTTATGTAAGACTTTGATTCCCCATTGTGGCCCCGCCCAATCCCCGGGGGTTATGATTTGAACAATTTAGAATCTACACTATCCCAGGATGCTTCCACATAAGTTTCAGCTTTTCTGGCACAGTGGTTCTTGAGAAGAAGATTTTCAAAGATTTTTCCGATATATTTCTATGTAAAACTTTGATTCCCCATTGTGGCCCCGCCCAATCCCAGGGGGTCATGATTTGAACAATTTAGAATCTACACTACCCCAGGATGCTTCCACATAAGTTTCAGCTTTTCTGGCTCAGTGGTTCTTGAGAAGAAGATTTTCAAAGATGTTTCCTATATATTTCTATGTAAAACTTTGATTCCCCATTGTGGCCCCGCCCAATCCCCGGGGGTTATGATTTGAACAATTTAGAATCTACACTATCCCAGGATGCTTCCACATAAGTTTCAGCTTTTCTGGCACAGTGGTACTTGAGAAGAAGATTTTCAAAGATGTTTCCTATATATTTCTATGTAAAACTTTGATTCCCCATTGTGGCCCCGCCCAATCCCCAGGGGTCATGATTTGAACAATTTAGAATCTACACTATCCCAGGATGCTTCCACATAAGTTTCAGCTTTTCTGGCACAGTGGTTCTTGAGAAGAAGATTTTCAAAGATGTTTCCTATATATTTCTATGTAAAACTTTGATTCCCCATTGTGGCCCCGCCCAATCCCCGGGGGTCATGATTTGAACAATTTAGAATCTACACTACCCCAGGATGCTTCCACATAAGTTTCAGCTTTTCTGGCACTGTGGTTCTTGAGAAGAAGATTTTCAAAGATTTTTCCGATATATTTCTATGTAAAACTTTGATTCCCCATTGTGGCCCCGCCCAATCCCCGGGGGTCATGATTTGAACAATTTAGAATCTACACTACCCCAGGATCCTTCCACATAAGTTTCAGCTTTTCTGGCTCAGTGGTTCTTGAGAAGAAGATTTTTTAATGACCCTACCCTATTTTTTGTCTTTTCTTGATTATCTCCCCTTGCGAGGGGATATGTCCCTTCATTTTAACAATTTAAATTCCCCTTCACCCAAGGATGCTTTGTACCAAGTTTGGTCAAAATTGGCCCAGTGGTTCTTGAGAAGAAGTCGAAAATGTGAAAAGTTTACGGACGGACAGACGGACGGACGACGGACACAATGTGATCAGAAAAGCTCACTTGAGCCTTCGGCTCAGGTGAGCTAAAAAGGAGAGTGCATGATTTGAACAAACTTGAATCTAACTTACTAAGGATGCTTGTATATTTCTTTGACTACCTGTGCCTTTATTGCCCTTTCATTTGAACTTACATTGTGGCCGCACCCTACCCCCAGGAGTCATGACTTGAACAAAATTGAATCTACACTACCAGAGAATGCTTCCATATGAACAGGACTAATCATGGCTTTGAAATTGTTGAAAAGAAGAATTTTAAAGATTTTTTTCTACGTCATGTGGAATCCATGTTATGGCCCCGCCTTACTCCCCATGGATCATCATTTGAACAAAAATGAATGTCCAATACCTGAGAATGCTTCCATAAAGATATGATCATTCATGCCTATGCAATTCTTGAGAAGATTTTGAAAGAAATTTCCTATATACTTCTATGTAAAACTTGGATTGGCCATTGAAGCCCCGCCCTAACCCCAGGGGTCATGATTTGAACAAATTTGAACATCCACTACCTGAGGATGCTTCCATACTAATATTA